AAACACATTTACCACTCCTGACTCAATTTGGTGTAGCTTTTCAAGTTCTAACATTATCTGCTGTTGCTATCTTGATAGGTTATCAAACATGGATATAAAAAACAATTTGCAAAAAGGTTTTTGCATTTCATATATATATATAATGTAAATATATATGAAAGTTTCTCTGCAGACTGCCTGATGTTGTGGTTGAGTATTTTGATGGATTGCTCCTTTTTCATGGGGCCGTTTTGTGTGATTAGGTTCCCTGGTCCACCAGCTGAAAAACACCCCCAAAATATTAGGTTCCCACCACCATGTTTGACAGGCTTCTCCTTTTTTACACCAAATGAAGGCTACATCATTGTGGCCACACAATTTAATTTTTGTTTCATCTGACCATAAAACAGAAGACCAGAAGTCTTCTTCTTTGTCCAGATGAGCATTTGCAAAGGCCAAGTGGCCTTTTGTGTGCCTTATCTGGAGAAGTGGTGTCCTCCTTGGTCTGCGTCCGTGGAACCCAGCGGTGTGTAGTGTCCGTTGGACTGTCTGTCTTGAGATTAACCCCATTGACTTTGTCTTCAATCTGCCTATATTTTGTAATGAAGACTCTTTTCTATAGCACCGAGTTTGTGCCCTGAGTCTCTCTCTCTCTCTCTCTCTCTCACCCCAACTGGTGAGAAACACCAACTCTAACAGAATTATGGATTTATTAATATAAGGTCAAGACAATGACAGCCAAAATATCTTTAAGAGGAAATTAGTTTACATTACTTTGATAGATCACTTGTGGCCACCAAAGGCTGAAATGTGCCCAAAACAGAAAGCTTGACAGGATCCAGCCTGGATCAACCAGTTATGGCTTAACATGCAGGTCTGGAGTCTGTTTCACTGAAATTTTGGAGCTGTGTTTGTTTCATCTTCTGTAAGTTTCTATAGAAACCCATTACACTCGTCTCTCAGATTTGATTCAGTTTAATGGAGTATGAGGTACAAATGAGAAAAAAACTGGACTTCAACTACATCCTGTCAAATGTGGCCCAAAGTATGTTTCATCCCTGGCTTCCTACTAGAATGTTATTTTTAAAGAGACTTCCTGTTTTCCAGTGGCACTATGCCAGTCAGTGGCTGATGTGGGACACCTGTGGCTTGTTGGTCCATCTACTTAACTAGTCCCAGATTTGATTTAATCTAAAGCTTTAATCCTGTCAACTTCAAACAAATTTTTGACCTGTTCTTGTAGAAACTATGACCAAAAATATTAACCAAATTAATCAACAAAATAACTGAACTACTGACACATGGACACATGAGTTTCATCAGTACAAACTCTGCTGTCAGTGTCGTGGCTAGAGTGTGATACCTACTAAATTAATTCAGACAAACCATCCCAATTTAAAGGATCATTTAATATTACAATTATTCTGAATAGAGTAGTATTTAAACAGATAATCTTGTAGTTAGGGAAACAGAGAACAGATGGAATGGATACAGTATTAAAGAAGTAGATTGTCAGAGCGCCAGTCAGTCTTAGTCAGCAGTCAGTCTTAATTCAGCGTCCCCCCAGCCGGCTGGGTTCCCCACAAAGTATACTCTCCCTGTCACAGTAGCATTGTCATCCTCTCT